GAGTATGGGTCACCATACTTGGCCACATGTCACGTCACTTTTCACTTTTTCACTTTTCACTTTTCAATATTACAGCGAGAATAAAAGTTACTCCTTCTTTCTTTGTGTGAACATTTGGGCGGTGTTATGCAAATCTTCCCACATCGTGACGTAGAAATGTGGGGGCGTGTTAGAACGAGTCGCTTTAGGTAGGCTCTTGGTTGACTCTTAACTTTTATAAAGAATATCTCTTTGGATTTGAGACTTTAGTCTTTGCAACTTTACAGATCTTCTTTATGCACCAAGAGCTTGTAACACTCCAAAGAGAAAGCAAAACTGGAAATCGCATCATATGACCCCTTTAAAACATGCAGAGGAAATGAAAGTTTGAGGCTAAAAGATACGGACACTAAATGATGAGATTCTACACGGTTGATATCAGGGGTGCAGAAACACAACAGCAACATTTACATGTTTTTGCATTCAGCTCATGGATAATCTTTACTTTTTAAAGTCCTAAGACTCCTTGAAATCTGAATTTGTGAATTTTAGTCCATGTCTATTTGCTACTGTACTCCAAAAACATGACAAAATAAACATTTATAAGATACGTGCATTTAATTTACAGTCTTTCTCTTCCATAAAAACAGGAAAACTATTGATCTTGAACTACAGAGGGTATTCTTTTGTTTGTCAATCAGATGGTTGTGACGTAAACTAAATGCTACTGACTCTATAGTTTGTATTAAATATGTAATAATCAATGCAAAAAACTGCACTTATTATTTTAGTATCAGTGAGATTCTATTAGAATTTTTATGGTAACACTTTACAATAAGGTTCAATTAGTTAATGCATCAAATAACAATGAGCATTAATTTTGTTACAATGTTTATTCATCTTTATTGATTTTTGTTAATAAAAATACAATTGTTCGTTGTTAGTTCATATCAGCTCAGATCCATTAAAAAATATTAAAAGTGACATCGGATGAAATTTTCACGTTTGTAGCTTTTTTTGCATTTAGTTAGGTTTCTGCTGTGTCTGCCAGCTCAGAAAAGCTGAAAAGAAAACATTCAGCAAGTTTGTTAATATCCGAGTTTAAAAATGTTTCACTTTGGTGCCGGTTTTGACGTAACTAGTTAGTTATTTGAATATAGGGCTGGACAATAATTCAATATCAATATGTATCGTATGACCGCCTCAAAGCAAAATATGGAGTCTGCCCTCTTCCCACCCATTTTTGCAAACAGATTGCAAAGCGCGTTTGACCAATGAAGCGATCCTGGCATGATGATGTTACAGACATTTCAGAAATACCCTAAAGCAACATGACAACTTGTGTGAAATGGGCCTCCGATGTCACCTTTAAAAGAAACTACTTTTGATTTTAAAAATGTATTGAGAAATGCTGAAATTGACATTAACTAAGATTAATAAATGCTATTATAAGAAGTATTTTTAGAAGTATTTGCCATTTTATTAATATTTTGAATTGGTTTTATCGTTTCCATTTTATTTGAATTTTAGTTAAATTTTTACTAATTTTGTTGTGTGTTTTTTTCCATTTTTATTAGTCTTTTTAATATTTATAAATAGTTTTTATTCATTTTTTATTTTAGTTTTAGCTATTTTAGTCCATCAAATTAAACTAAATGAAAATGAAATAAAATTTAATCCATTATATTTCATTTTTTTAAATATTTCTATGTTTTTTATGATTTTAGTTAACCATAACAATAAACCTGTCAAGGTTAAGGTCTAAATGTGTCCATCTGCTCAAATTATTTCTACGCCCCTGGTTACTACAACCGGCTAAAATATGAAACAATGACACACTTCTGAAGATTTCAGCAGGTCTGGACATGCATGAGTATTTCCAGGAGTATCTCCTCAACAGGTTTAAGACAAATCTGAAAACACTGCATATAAAACGCCTGAATATACTCATTTATTACTGAACTGTAAAAAAAAAGAAGACATCTACAACAGACTTCTAGACACATTTAAGATCATTTCCCTTACCTTGCACCTGTTGCACAACGTAATCTTAAAAAATAGATTTCAAAACAGCTGTCAACTATATACAGAAAAAAGTCATGCCTTTTAACATCTCCAGATACACAATTTCCACTTACCTGAATTTTTTTGCTCAAGATAATCTTTAAAAACAGATATCAGAACGTAGTTGCTGAAGCCATTCTTCCTCACAAAGCGACAGACTTTCTTCTGTTTGTACAGGCAGTTGAAGATGAAGCACGAGCTGATGCTTTTGGGATTTTCTCCATGTTCAATCAGAGCCAGATTACAGTTTGGATCATTACAGCAGGCCAGAACACAGTCTTCAGGCCGAGACACTTGAGGAGAACTCAGGAACGTGGCCCCTTCCTTCACAGATTCATCTACGTCCAACACAAAATCCTCTTTGCCAAGACTGAACTTATCCATGCATTTCCCTTCATCCTGAGCCTCTGATGGAGCCACATGCAAAACCACCGCGGTCCAGAAGAACCAGAGCCGAGCCGGAGTCATTCTCCGAATGAACAAAACCTCCAGTAATATCCCTGTATAAATGATTCAAGACCAATCTGAAAAGAGAAGACTTTAAACATTACAACCTACAAATAAAACGTATATAAAGCTGATAGGATGAATCACATAAACACACAAAGACTCGAAAAGGAGTCATTCTCCAAAGAACAAAACCTCCAGAAAAGTCCATTATAGATGATTCAAAACCAATCTGAGAAGAAAGAGAAAACTTTAAGCAGTAAAACTTCTAAATATACGTATATTAAATGGATATTAATCATTCTACCAACTGTGTGTATACAGTAATATAAATATAGTTGGCAGAATGAATAAATCCAATGAATAAAAATAAAATAAAAAAAGGAGTCATTCTCCAAAGAACTAAACCTCCAGTTAAACCCCTTTATAGATGATTCAAATTGAGCCTGAAAAGAGATTTAAAAGATAAAAATAAAAACTAACAAATAATACTTATATGGATTTAGTCATTCTACTAGCTATATTTATGTTTTTTTATTTATATGTTCTTTATAAATCTATAAAGAATTTTTAAAAAGTATTTATCTAAAGATCAAAATCCCTTTAACAATGATTTAAGACTCATTTGAAAAGTAAGCGAAAACATTAAAACTTCCAAATAATATTTATAAAACAGTCTACTACATATTAAATCCAGAATGAATATATAAAGGAGTTAGTGCTGGGCGGTATGACCAAAAATGTATATCACGGTATTTTTCAAAGTTATACCGGTTTCACGGTACATGACGGTATTATTTTTTCATGCATGACCAGGTGTTAACCATATCTTTAAAATTCGCTAGGTTTGTCAGTATGAATATTCTCTTGAAAAAAGCCGCTAAAAGGGTCTGAAAGTTGCTAAATCTAGTGCTAAAGTGGCGCTAAAAGGAGTCATTAAAAAAACTTATAAAATATTATTTGATACGTTTTTTTATATATAGCTGGTGGTAGAATTACCAAATCCATAAACAATCAAAATGGAGTCAACAAAGTTTAAAATAAAATCCCTTTATAAACGATAAAAGGCCAATCTGAATAGAAAGAGAACATTTGAATGAAACACAATTTCCAATTAATATTTATATAATACAATATAGCTGAAAGAATGACCAAATCCATAATGAAAAATAATAATTAAAAAAAAGTCATTATCAAAATAACAAACCCTCCAGTAAAATCCCTTTATAATGATTAAGACAAAACATTAAAACTTCTAAATATTTATAGTCTAAATAATTACTAATTCCAAAAGGAACTCATAAGGAGTCTTTCTCAATAACATAACTTCTCTGGTGTAAAGTCTTTATTTTTACAAACATATGTTATTGAGATGACTGTCAAACTGTGGGCCAAATAACCTTAAATCGACCGTGACTCAAAATCAGCGTGAGAAGATTACACTAGCTTATTAATATATAGTATTAGACTTTAATACATGTATTATCAACTATAATAAGTCATAATAAGTTAACATATATACAAGAAAAAACGCTGACTTCAAAGTCAGTTTAGTAAACTTTACACAATTTGTACAGAGTGTCTCGACCAATAAAGTCACTTTCTCCCCTAAAAAGGTCAAGAATAAAACGAAGGGAAACTTTAAGCAACTTCAGTGAAATAATGTAATGCGCATTATATATATAGGCTATGTCGTTCAAACACTCGCCAATCTTCTGTGACACAAAATCGAAAGTTTTCTACCACAGTAGTGTCGAACATTTCTGCTTTACTCATAAATAAACATAAACATTACAAGGCCGCCGGAGAAAAACGCAGCAGATGTTTGGTTTTGCGCCGAAACATTTCATCTTCTTACTTATTAAACAGCTCTACAAGTGCTCGTCTCCTCCAGAACGGTGTAATTCCTCATTAGCCAGACATAAACCGTCGTTTAAAGCAGTTTCGATGGAAATGCGTCGTTGATTCCGAGTAAAACTGCGGCAGTCAGATCCGGAGCTTCAGGTGTGTCCGATACCGAGATACCTGCGCGAGCAGGAAGTGCTGACGTCACGCGCCTGAGCCAGACTCCGCCCCCTCGCACTACACTGCATTCATTTACGTGCGTGGGGAAATATTTTTCTAAAGTCTGTTGTCTGAGTCTGACAACACCACACTGTCTTAGACAGGACATGACTTACCGCAGACACATGATGTATGTGGCTAAAGTGTCTGTTACTTCTGTAAAGAGCCAGTAAATATTATGAAATATACAGTTTTTGTATAAAATGGTTATTGTCTGCATTTTGTGGGATGGAGTTGTTTTGATATGCAATAACAAAAATGTTTATCAATATTATTGTTTAAAAAAAGGTTAATTTATAAAATGTTTTTATAAATGTGTTTCACTTCGTTATCAAGTGTCTGTGTCAAAGCTGATAGAAACGTTTCACTTCCTTCATCAGATGCATCATTCCCCACAAACCTCAAAAAGCACTGTTCAAAGTCGTATTCATGTCCAGTTTCATCAAAACCAACAACGCTGGTTTAAGTTTAAAGCCAAATCAACTCAAAAACATTTGTGGATGTATTGGGTAATTTCTTTCAGTTTAAATGAAATACACCATATACTAGGCTATATAATATTCTAATCACTGATGTATTATTTCAAATGATGTGTGTCCTTTAAATACTTACATAATAATGCACAGAAGCTTCTGCAAAACGGGCAAATGTTGACTTCTTTACATGTAAAAATGAACGTGCAAATGTGAATTTTCTGGTACTCATTGCTACAAATATAAATGTACTCTATACATGCAAACAGTGTTGGTAAAAGTTAATGCATTACAATATTGTGTTACTCCCTAAAAAAGTAACTAATTGCATTAGTTAGTTACTTTTTATGTAAAGTAATGCATTACGTTGCTTTTGCGTTACTATTTCTCATCTGGCCTGACATGAGGACAGGAGAGCTGTCAGTCTATAGATGGGAAAGAAAGTAGCTGCCATTACTTATTTGAAAAAGTAACTCAGATATTTTCTTGTAAATTAAAAAGTAATTAATTACTAGTTGCTTGAAGAAAGTAATCTGATTATGTAACTCACGTTACTTGTAATGCGTTACCCCAACACTGCATGCAAATCAGCATATTCTTTTCCTGTGTATAACATTATTGACTTTTCCCAGACAACTGTTAATATGGATATCTAAAAAGCTCAGTGTGATACACAATAGCAATCAGCTAGACAACATGGCCAGTCAGTATCAACATAAATGTAGAACAAAAGTTACATTTGTATATAACAAACATTCCAGGTACACCACTGTGAAAAACCACCTAAACATCTGACCGGTTTGTGGTTGCTGTAGGTGTCTGTTGCTTTCTGTTGCACTTTGGTTCTACAAAGTGTCATTCATAAATGTCCAGTTTCATTTGTCAAAACCTCAATTCTGGTTTTTGATGCAGGAAGTGAGATGTTTCCATTGACATTTTCTTTCTGTCACTAAAACTCACTGTAAGTGTTTCAGTGTAGTTTGAAAAGCACAACATCATTTTGCAGTCCAGACAAGATTTTACTGTTTATTTTGATGCATACATATATATATATATATACAGTATATATGCCAAATGCATAAAAATGTTAAAGACCTACAGTTTTTCCGCTACAGACACTAGATGGCAGTGACATCTAAAGCTCCTGAATACCATCATCAGCAGTCTGTGGGAGTGTTAAAGACAACAATGTTGAGCTTTGATAACACAGCCAACACTCGCTGACTCATCCTGGAGCGATGCCATACAGAGACAAAGAGATACACTCACATTCACACACAGCAGATCAGCCTCAGTCTCAGTGAATGTTCTTATGTAAGCACTGAAACTCACTGTGGTGAGGCTGATCATGCATTTACATCACTGACTGACTCTTCTGAGCACATTAAGAAGGGACTCGAGGCAAATCTAGAGAGCGGAATATTAAATAGACTCACACATTTGGGCCAGTAAGCAACCATCCAGAACACCCTAGCAACTGCATAGCAACACACTATTAACCACTCATAATACACATGCAACTGCATAACAACACCCTGGCAACCATCCACAAGACTCTAGTAATTGCATGGCAACACACTATTAACCTGCAAATTTGAAAATGAATTTCCTCTCAGAGGACAAATAAATTATCTATCTATCTTGAAAACACATATGCAACTGAATAGCAACACCCTGGCAACCATCCACAACATCCTAGCAACTGCATGGCAACACACTATTAACCTGCAAAACACATATTCAATGGCATAGCAACGCTTTGACAACCATCTGCAACACCCTAGCAACTGCATGGCAACACACTATTAACCTGTAGAACACATACTGTATGCAGCTGCGTAGCAATGCCCTGGCAACCATCCACAACACCATAGCATCTGCATGGCAACGCCCTGGCAACCATTAACAACACCTTAACAACCGCAGGGCAATGCCCTGGCAACCATTCACAACACCCTAGCAACTGCATGGCAACACACTAACCCACAGAATGTATATGCAACTGCATAGCAACACCCTGGCAACCATCCACAACACCCTAGCAACTGCATACCAATGCCATGGCAACCATCCACAACACATAGCAACTGCATGGCAACACACTAACCCACAGAACGTATATTCAACTTCATAGCAACTGCATGGCAACACACTATTAACCTGCAAAACACATTCTGTATGCAACTGCATAGCAACACCCTGGCAACCATTCACAACACCTTAACAACCACAGAGCAACGCCCTGGCAACCATTCACCACACCCTTGTGTGTGTTGGTGAGCTTTGCATGGACAAACACCATATTTTCTTCAGAAAATCTATTATTTTTCTTAAAAAGCACAGTGTTTCTAGGTAATGCATGCCCTGTATCATCGGCTGGCCCTATTTTTGAGTCTTGGCTCGGATGAATGAATTTGTTGGCTGTGAAAGATGAGCTGCCACGTTGCTCAATAATTTAGAGTTTGTAACAGACGGCACATCGGCAGGAGAAGCAGCAGAGCTGCACTTGACTGATATGCCCTGACAAAACAAAAGGGAAAAGAGACAGCCATTGTTTTTATCGAAATCGGACCTTTGTAATAGCCAATGCACGCCTTTTGTCCAGCCTACTTTACACTTTGACATGGGAATACACCACAGAATTCTGTTTGGACAACTTGAGGCAATGTTTGATGCACGGCGGGCACCATAAACATGTTTCTCGCATATCAAGTTTTGTTCTGTCCAAAGCACTCCAGTCTGTTGCATTGCTGCGTCTCCTCATCCATCATTCATTAAGGTGCGCCCATTTAGTTTCAGGCCTTATCACTCACACTCCTGATAATGGCAGATATAAAAGACATGGTTGATTTCTACTGCATGTTTGGAGGGTTTCTGACCGGTGAACATATAGATAATCTGAGCTGGTAGACACAGATGACCGCGCTTCTGTCATACTTGAACCTGATACAGACACTAGATAAAAATAATTCTTACATGAGCTTATTGATGAGTTTAAAAATAAACACATTCAAGTACACTATTACATTTTCTTTGGCCGTTTTCTGACATCTGTAGCTCAACGGTTATCGACAGTGCTGGATAGTAACTGATAACATGTAATCTGGATTACATCATCTGATTCCAAAAATGTAGTACTTTAATTAGATTATATTCTAATTCAAAGGTAGACCAATTATATTACCTAAAATGTGTAAAGTAATGGATTACGTTACTAACTAAAATTTTTGTCATGTAATTTGGAATCAGTAGTCGAGAACATTTTGTAAGTAATCTACCCAGCACTGTTGATATTAATCATTTAATCATTGTAATATCCTGGAAATATTGTGAGTAACCTGTAAGCACATCAATTGATAACAAGTGTTTCTCTCTGTGCACCATCGGCCTTACGGGAAAAAGCTCAGTTGCAGTAAATGGAAACTTTATGATCTGGCCTGCAGCTCTAAGTGACAACTGACATATCAGCTGCTAAGAGAGGATTATTTTGACATATATGGCTTTTTGCTGAACCCCATTTAATCGAAACGGGGCAAAATCACATCCATTACTCTCCATTTCCTCCTGGCACAGGATATCACTCGTAATGAAAGCACCATTACCTCTGATAATGGGACAAAGTGTCTGAGCAAACGAAGTGTGCTCCAAAATCAACGCTGCTAATATATAGTTATGTGAATATCACAGAGACTCTTTTCACTTGAGACAGTAAGCAACCCTAACCACCCAGAACACCCTAGCAACAGCTTAGCCACACTTTAAGCACCTCGATCACTCTAGAAACAATAACAGCCATTTAGAGCATCTTGGCAACTTTAAACCAATGCCCTAGCAACCACGCACAATTCCCTAACAAACTGTAAGAACCACATAGCAACACCTTGACAACCATTCAGAACACCCTGGGAACAGCTTAGCAACAGCTTAGCAACCACCCAAAACACCATAGCAATGCCACACCCTGGCAACCACTCAACAGCTCTAAGCACACAGAACACCTTGGAAACCACATAGTAACACACTAACAGACACTCAGAACATCTTAGCAACTTTAAACCAATGCCCTAGCAACCACGCAAAATATCCTAGCAAACTGTAACAACCACATAGCAACACTTTGGCAACCATTCAGAACACCCTAGCAACAGCTTAGCAACCACCCAAAACACCACAGCAACAGCTTAGCAACACCCACATAGCAACACACTAACAGCATACACATCTTAGCAACCTTATACTAATGCCCTGGCAACTACCACAGAAAACGGATAGCAACACCGTGGTGACCACCCAACAGCTCTAAGCACCCAGAACACCCTAGAAACCACATAGTAACACACTAACAGCCACTCATAATATCTTAATAATGTTGTACCAATGCCCTAGCAACCACCCATAACACCTAAGCAAACACATAGCAACACCCTGGCAACCATTCAGATCAAGAACACCCTAGCAACAGCTTAGCAACCCCCAGCACCCACCTGGAGCACCCTAGAAACCACGGAGCACACTAACACTCTAACTGTCATTTAGAA